CTTGAGAGGTATCAGGACAAACATTGCTTTGTTGCAACGACGGCCAAAATTTAGTTAGGCTATTTGCACATTACAGGTCAAATGATGAATGCTACAAATCTGTTGGCCTCCAAGTGTTCGACTAGTTGGTCGCGGACACTTTTGTCATAGCTTAGTGAAGAGGTTCTCGGCTATCTCCTCTGCTCTTCGACTCTGCTTCAGAGTTGAGGCCTGAGACAGTATGAGTTGACCACCAACAACCAGAAACAAGATAAAAGCCGGGGATTACAGAAGCTAGTCACCACAATGAATCAGCCTTTCACTACTTCAGTCAGTCTTTCTACCTAGACTCTTGCAATAAAAAAAAGTCTTTCTACCTAGAAATCTGGCACTCGGAGCGACCTGGACCAGAGAAACATCAGCAATGGAAAATTGTATATTACTATAACATTCAAATGTGATATAGAAAAGTTCAATGTATGTGCATTTCTTTCGCCCATGAATACAATTTCAGTACAGGACGGGTCCACATAACACAAGTGTATACTCCCTCTGTTTTTATTTACTCCGCATATTAGTTTTGGACAAAGTTTATAGACAAAAATTTTAACATATACAATAACAAATCAATACCATTAGATTCATTGTTGAATGTTCTTCCACATCATAGAGATTTGTTATGCTAAATATTTATATTCTTTTCGTATAAATTTGGTCAAACTTTACAAAGTTTGACTTCAGTCAACTCTAATATCCGGAGTAAATAAAAACGGAGGGAGTATTTACTAAACCAACCTCTTACAAGAACTATAAGAGGCCAGTGCCACATATCAAATATTCTGCATGGTGGTACATGAAGGATGCATAACATTCAGCTAAGAAATGAGTTCCTCACGCTTTGAAGCCGCTACAAACTGATCCTCGGTCAAATAAGGCACACAAATCAACACTACAAGCTAAGTATGCAAACGTTATCATCAATTTGTGTGAACCAGAACTTTTAGAGTTGCTAAGATAACCTCAATTTAACAGGCTTACAACATATCTCTGCAATGAACCTCCCAACTCAATTTCAGCCTTGTGAAGCATCAAGACCTGACCTTATGATTCTCTTTGTTGAGAACTTCAGACCGAATCATGCCTGCTGAGTTTCAAGAAATCAGCCATTTTCCACAAAGACATGACATATCAAATGTCAGACCTCAAAACTAGAGGCCATCATGAACAAAAATGCAACATTTATTATTTCTAGCACACTGAAGGGAAGCAACAAAATTTACAAGAGATTCGGATTTCCTGAACCTTTGTACCTTTGTCCAAACGGCAGTGTGACTAAATAAATGTGGACACAGAGAGGACGGGTTTTTATGTTCGTGCCTGGACCATGTCAGCACCGATCTGAGTCTTCCTCATGTGTCATGTGTGAATAGTCGCGCAACTGCATCATCGAAGATGTTGCCTACTTTCAGTTCTTATCGCGGCCCATGCAACACCGCACCGGTAACAACGACTCCTCCAAGAGCTCCAGCGGCTGACACATCATGCGTGTGAATGTTGTAGCATTACCCTTAACCATCTTTGCATTACAGAGAACTAATAATATTGGAGAAAGGGATAAACAGTGTCTAGTTACCTGCTGCTATCTTCTGAATCTCGCTTGGCGAATATATGAGCTAGCATGGACGTGTAATATTCATGAGAAATTAAACAACCTACTCTGATTATCTATATGTGGGTGAAAATTGATTTCCATATAATTGGCTAATGGAAAATAAATATGGGATTGACACAGACTGCTAAGGTAAGTGATATTAACATAAGCTTGATTAAGTAGAGATAAGGAATCCTGGAGAGAAAGTAAGTAGAGATAAGGCTGATTGACACAAGCTTCATTAAGTACGTCCTTGCGTAATCCATGGCATTCATATAGTCTTATTCATAACAGGGAGAGAAGGCTGATTGACATGATTTTGTTGAACACATTGTAACGTAGATAGTATATTACATGTGTGTGCGCATCTAGACTAGGTAGTTAGGCGCGTGATCTTATCTCTATCTTCTGTAACCATATCTAGCCTTACCTCTACTTTCTTTCTCTCCAAGATTGTAATCTCAACATCCTCAACAGTGTGCGCTATCCCGCGTCCCCTCACATCGAGGTTAAGACGCTTAAGCCAATCTCCATAGATTTCATTATGAATATCTGATAACAATGTTAGACCGATGTATAATTAAGTCCTAGAAACATGTGTGTGTCGTAATCTGACCATAATGTTAGATCAATGTGTAAATAAGTTTTGGATGTATGCATATGTCTCTGTCTGAAGTCTGAAATTTCTCTTATTTTCCCATCAAATGGACGTCTAGTATATCACTGGGTACTCCCTCCGTTCCATAATTTGAACCAAAGCCACGACAATAATTATGGAACAGAGGGAGTATTAAATACAGAGTAGCATATGAAACACAAGTATATAACTAGTTCTCTCATTTTCTTTCATGTTAAATAGACACACTAGTATATCACTGGGTATAAAACACAAGACCAACCAAGCATTGAAATGCATGCATGTACACAGATCATGATGTTCATCAATTATCATGATCGTATCATGAACATTGAGTATAGGTGCAATCTGATCCATTCACTCACATTTATAAATATACAAGCCAACAAATGTATACACACTTTGAGAATAAGTCCTAGTGCAGTTCAATAAGGCACCACTATATCAGTTCAAGGACCTTGAGGCTTGGTAGGTATCATGAGAAATATTGCTTTATTACAATTGAATAGAGGGTGTCAGAGATACATAAATCAAGTGAAGTCGGTCTCTTCAAAATGTGACATCTCTAGCTTTGTCAATAATTACTTAATGGCATGTTAACTCCTTTTGTATGTAAACCATGTTTTCAAATAAGTGTATATTACCACCATTAACTATAGTGCGAGCTGCCACTAAAACAAGTATCACAGGAGTTTAATTTTGACCGTGAAGTCAATTATATACCACTTAGAGGACACCCCTAAATTCGAATCACAATTTGCTTTATCTGTCTACTCACATTGAGGTGGTTTTGCGTGACGTGATGATTAGATGTTAATTATTCCATACGCACAATAGTAGAGAGTGTACTCGTCGATACTTCCTAGAAAAACTTAAGCACATACATTGTGAGGCTCCACTTGATGCATTAACAAAACCTCTTTGTTGAAAAAATTGAGTGAGGCGCTTTTTTCGTTGAGAAGAAACAAGATTTCAGTTAACCAAACAAATAACAAGACCATAATGGAAATACATCTTTCTCCGCAGTTGAGCAAAGACTCTTATAAAACTAACCTTGAAGAGCGAACCAAGAATTAGATTACACATGTATTAGAACATCTCTATGTGGAACAAAACAGATGCCACTCTTGAGAAAAAAAGTGTGCGTCTTTTTTAGGTTCTAAGACTAATATAGCCACTGATACTATATCATCTTAAAACAATTTAAGTTTAAAAATTATTATCCAGGCATCCTGGATAACCTTGGCTACTACACACAACTTGGTAAATAGAAGATGCAGGTTAAATAATCTGAGCCATCATTGGAAAAAAAATTCCAAGTTAATCAGTTAACTATTTCGATCCAGTTCATGGTACTCTCCATGTAGCTTATTGCTATATCATTCCAGCAATGGCATCCTTGGCCATTTGATGACCCTTTGTGCCAGGAACCATAAGGTTTTAGCTTCCCAAAGATGGTACGGTGGATTTAGGCTTCAGTCATGAAGCAGTTTTTTGTTGGGCCACCAAAGTTGGAGACTCGTCACACATCTTATTCTTCGTGTAAATTTCTGTAGCCCATGCCTCAAATCTAGGGAGCAATTGTCAACACATGTGAAGAA